TTTTAAGTATTCCCCAATTGAAGAGGACATAATCCGGGGGTTGATATGCTCAGACCCACGAGCTTTGAATCCAGTCGAGCAAAAACTTCAAGAACTTCCGCGTGCAAACAGAACAAGGCAAGAACAGGGTAAACGGAGCTGGAAGGTGCAACTTCAACACCGACTTACGGGGAAGAGGCTCGATCCAACGATGGTGCAACTCGTCCACGATTGATGTGGTGAATCAATCGATGCTGAGCTCGCTTATTGATGGACTTGAATCCACGCAACAAGGACAATCAAAGAGCTTGAAAAGACTCGATGACAAGGGTTCTTTTATTAAACTTCCACTGCTGATTACAACACAATAATCGTCCTTATATAGCTAGCTAGAATAAATCAATTAACACCCTCCTAAACCTACTGGAACTCGACAAAGAAATCCTCAAACAGAAAAGGAATACAACTCCAACTCAAACAAGGAAACAATAACAATCCTGCCGTAAGCTCCACGTCAACAAACAGCCCGCGACACCAACTTTGAGGCTCTGGAACGACGCCTTCCAAGTACGCCATTGATCATCCAATGCCTCTCCTTTGTAGAGTAAAATACGTATTTTCGTGTGGATGGAAGTTCCTCCTTCGAATCGTTCCCATCTGCCATGAATGGAGCTCCAAATCTGCCTTCCTGACCATGCTTCCTGACTTAGCCAATTTCTGGCAGTTTGCCAGTTTCGAGATAGCTACTTTAAGGTCTTGAACAGTAGTCTTAATGACGTCGTTTGAACCCGAAATCCATACCAAATTGTTCAGGAAGTCTTCATCTTCAAAATGACGCCCTAAACTCTCATTTATACCAACCCAATCGGAAGATTCGAGCTCGCAAAGTAGGCTACCCGAACTCGTCATAACACTTAGCCAAAAACTCAGGTTGCGCAAATGAGTTGGCTTAACTTCTTGAACAAACAAATCGAGCTTGGCATGGAAGCAATTCAAGCTCATATCAGGCTCCTCCTCTTCAAAAAGCTTTGCCCTCAAAGCTGGCTCTTTTTTCTTCTCGAAATCTGCACAAAATTCAGTCCAAATCGGGTAAAAATATGGCATTCCAAACTCCCTTTTTTGCAATTCAAAAACAGTGTTCTTGAGCATATGGATTGGGGCTTTTTGATTCAGGTCTTGCCAATCCAATTCAGTGCTCTCACGGGGCTGGCCCCACCTCCAATCAACTTCCTGAACCGGCGGCGGGTTCCGAGTCGTCGCCTTTCGTGGCGACCCAGCTCCTCGACTTCTCCCGCCAACGCCGACATTCAAAAACGACCCACACAGGATATGTGATGTCAATTTGGGCGTTTCGATTCCAGCATCCTCCGAATCAAATTGGTCAATCCTACAGCATATCGACGACGTTAGCAATAATTCTGCCGAGTCCGTTTGGCTCGACTCAGTCCCGAACTCTCCAACCCATTCAGCTGAATTTTTGTCTTCTTTGTGCGCAGCCAGGGTCGTTCGAAGTCGAATGCGAACTGGCGGATGAGGGGCATTCGCGTCGCTTTTGCCTTCGGTGGAGGTTCCCAGGGTAGTGGGGAATGTTTCGGAGGCCGTGGCGAAGCTCGACATCGCACAAGCCGTTCCAACCCATTGCCCCTCTCTCCTGCTTTGTTTTGGCGTCAGAGAGCAGAGCTGCCAGCGCTCGGCCTGCTGAGGAGGTCTTCTTTTGCTCAAAGATGTGAGCATAAATCTTCGCGCCATCAAAACAGATTCATCTCCCTTTTCCCGACCCCGATTCGCCTTCATTTGTTGCTGATCGGCGTGGACTTCGGCCGGCGATAGCGGCTTAAGCAAGAACTGGCGATTTTCCAACCTGAATCGGTAGGAATTGGCCCTTCCGTCGTGGACTGCTCCTCGATCATACTGCCATGGTCGTCCTAGCAGCAGGTGAGTAGCTTGCATCGGAGCTACGTCACACCACAGCTCGTCCTCATAGTGGCCGATTTTGAAACTTACCTTGGCCTACTTGTTTACTTTGAGGGTGCCATATTCATTTAGCCAATGAAGACTGTAAGGTTGAGGGTACTTGATCGTACATAATCCAAGCTTTTTAACAGCATCTAAACTCACAACATTAGTACAGCTGCCCCCATCGATCACGACGGACAGTAGCCTACCCTCAACCGTACAACGAGTGTGGAACAAATTGTCTCGTTGTTGTTCGTCAGCGCGAAAATCCAGAGTAAGAGCTCGACGATTTACACCGAGTAGCTTGCCTGCGGAAGGAGTTTCAGCCTCTATTGACTCGTCAATTTCAGAATCAGACCCACTATGTTCATCCCAGTCCTTCTCTTCCTAATCATCAGTCACGTACTCCCCATCCCGAAGCACCAAAGCTCGCTTGTTCGGACATAGATTGACCTTGTGCCCTCTGCCAAAACACTTAAAGCATTGAATACTGCTTGATGAGCCTCCCGGCTTGTCGTGCATGACTGGAGCAGTCGTCCGAGGTGCCAATTTGGCCGATTCTACTCTAGGCTGCTCGGATTGAGGCATAGAGGTCTGCTCGGAACCAGATTTCGGAGCAGAGAACCTTCTTCCCGTACTTGCCCTTTGTTGCTTCTCTGCTTTAATGGCCATGTGCACGACTTCCTCAAGTTCCACAAATTGGCGAAGCTCGATCTCATTCCTAATGTCTCGATTGAGACCATGGAGGAATCGAGAAATCGTTGCCTCCCTGTCTTCGCGAACATCGGCACGCAACATTAACAGCTCGAGCTCCTTAAAGTACTCGTCCACGGAGCGTGTTCCTTGTCGAATGCCCTGCAAAGCATCGAACAATTCTCGCTGATAATACCCCGGGACAAATCTGTCTCTCAGCAAGCCTCGCAACTCATTCCAGGTTGCGATTGGAGGCTGTGAATTTTGCCTCCTCCGTAATTGCGTCTTCTCCCACCACATCGCTGCATAATCTGTGAACTCGTACGTAGCGATCTGTACCTTCTGTTCTTCCATGTAATGGCCGCATTGAAAGAAGAGAATCATCTTTCTTTCCCAATCAAGGTAACTTATCGCATTGGTGGCGCCATTGAACGAGGGAATCGACAATTTGATTCCTCGTAACTCTGCTGCTGGACCATACTCTGCTTCAGGAGGACGCCACTCATGCTCGCGAAATTCGCGATGACGGGTTCGCGGTTCCGTTTCTGCAGCGATCAGCCGCCGTTCCAAGTCTTGAAACCTCTCGTTGAGATCCTGATTGACTCGAAGGTGCTCATGCTCGTTTCGATCCGCCGTTAAGGCCACATTGGGTGTCGTTGGAGTGCCCTGTTGTGCAGCAGGATTCGTCGGTGGAGACAGAGCATCTAATCGCCGATTAAGGTGATCGAATTGAGTCTAAAACGTGAGGTTGAGATGGGCAGTGAGGGTCTGCAGAAGCTCGGACATATTTATTTGCTGTTCGGCCATCGCTGGTTCGTCGGACTCCTGTTCGTCGCTGGATGACGAACTCTGTTCAGGTGTTCGATCTGCAATGGGATACTTAGCACGAGTCCTGGCAGCGACGGGTAACGCCGCCTTTGACGTCTTGTCCGCTGTGTTGAACCAAGGCTACTGATGCCACTTGATATGCTCAGACCCACGAGCTTTGAATCCAGTCGAGCAAAAACTTCAAGAACTTCCGCGTGCAAACAGAACAAGGCAAGAACAGGGTAAACGGAGCTGGAAGGTGCAACTTCAACACCGACTTACGGGGAAGAGGCTCGATCCAACGATGGTGCAACTCGTCCACGATTGATGTGGTGAATCAATCAATGCTGAGCTCGCTTATTGATGGACTTGAATCCACGCAACAAGGACAATCAAAGAGCTTGAAAAGACTCGATGACAAGGGTTCTTTTATTAAACTTCCACTGCTGATTACAACACAATAATCGTCCTTATATAGCTAGCTAGAATAAATCAATTAACACCCTCCTAAACCTACTGGAACTCGACAAAGAAATCCTCAAACAGAAAAGGAATACAACTCCAACTCAAACAAGGAAACAATAACAATCCTGCCGTAAGCTCCACGTCAACAAACAGCCCGCGACACCAACTTTGAGGCTCTGGAACGACGCCTTCCAAGTACGCCATTGATCATCCAATGCCTCTCCTTTGTAGAGTAAAATACGTATTTTCGTGTGGATGGAAGTTCCTCCTTCGAATCGTTCCCATCTGCCATGAATGGAGCTCCAAATCTGCCTTCCTGACCATGCTTCCTGACTTAGCCAATTTCTGGCAGTTTGCCAGTTTCGAGATAGCTACTTTAAGGTCTTGAACAGTAGTCTTAATGACGTCGTTTGAACCCGAAATCCATACCAAATTGTTCAGGAAGTCTTCATCTTCAAAATGACGCCCTAAACTCTCATTTATACCAACCCAATCGGAAGATTCGAGCTCGCAAAGTAGGCTACCCGAACTCGTCATAACACTTAGCCAAAAACTCAGGTTGCGCAAATGAGTTGGCTTAACTTCTTGAACAAACAAATCGAGCTTGGCATGGAAGCAATTCAAGCTCATATCAGGGGTCTCACCTTCTATAAAAGAACTGGCTCCTCAGAACCTCTAATGATCCAAAAGTGGAGGAGCAAAAACACGATCGAGAGCGACATCTACAGCTCTGGTTTTAGCACGATACCGACGATCAAAAAATGAGTGATTGTTTTATCATAGAGGCGACCATTGACAGCCCACTATGCATAAAAAGACACTACCACGAACGTATTAAAAAGAACGACCTAATCCGCGACTCAACCAGATTTCAGCAACCACACTTTCTTTGATTCAATTTTTAACAAGTTAAATGTCACACCGCTAATGCGCAATTCAACTCATTTGCAGCCACGAGAGAAGAAAAAGATCTAAAGAAAATGATGGGTAATCTACAACAAAAACATGTACACAAATCGCACAACGAACCCGCATCGATCCCAGGAAACGATACTACACAACAAAATAAGCTGCCGAAGTGTTCCTTATTTTGAGAAAATCTTGTGTACTCATTATTTGAGAAAATCTGAAAATTTAGAATCCCCAATGTCGCCTTTAACCGCAAACGATCAGCTACCGAAGTGAATGGGAAAAACTGAGAAGAGCGAAGTGCAGTCTCACTCAATACTGATCGTGTCAAGCAACTTCTGACACACCTCGCTCACCTCTACATTCTCCATCTTTAATCGACGGCGCATCATGTTGGTCGTCCTTCCAGCAGCTGCATAAGTTCTTATCAACAACTCCAACACATTTGCTCCTAAACTCTCCACAGCCTTCTTGATAGTATCGGTAAAAGCTTCAGCACCATCAACATCTCTTTCTTGCTCAAAATGTGCCATCAAAGATCTCACAACCTCATTAGAGGGGACCCATTTCTGACCGTCTCCTTTACCAACAACTAATTGCATTGGCTAAACATTCAACCGTCAACTTGATGTCTCCATTTCTCATATGATAATCTGAAAATATTTCCCATGTCTTAGCATTAGGTTCGCTACCTCTTCTTTTGGCCCTGTTCTTCAATTCTTCTGCCCTCTCTAGCTGACCCTCATTAATATAAGCTCTTATGAGAACATTTGCTACCCTAATATCATAAGTTGAGCATCCAACTTCCCATTCCCTAAAACATTTTTCTGCACCTGGCAAATCTTTCAAGTTAACCAGCACTTGAATAATATTCAGATAGCTTATATAAGCTGCTTTAGGAAATGCCACCCTCAAGGAATGCCAGACTCGATAAACTTCAGGCAAGTTCCCTGTCTTTCCATATAGTGTTATCAGGAACTGGAAAGGAGCGAGATTTTTGGTGTCTTTTAGCTTCCCTAATTCTTTCAGTGCCTTTTCTGCCTTGTCAAACAACCCATCAACATAAATGGAGGATAAGTTGCTATAAGTAGACCAATCTGCAGCAATTCAACCGTCCCTCTTCATTTCATCAATAACTCTCTCAACACCAGATAAATCATGGGCAGCAACCATAGCCCTCATCCAGATATTGTACGTAAAACAATCAGGCATCACACTGTCAGCCTTCATTTCCTGTATTATAGATGGAATCTTCTCATGTTGTTTGGTCTTCTCATAAAGAGTCATGATACTGTTGTAAGACATGGAAGTTAACCCGAAATTGAGCTCCTTCATCTTTTCAAGAAAAGCTTCTGCTTCTTCAGCCATCAAGGCTTTGCAATAGCAATTGAGAAGAGCCTCATACGTCAAGTGGCTCTTCGATGTTTTAGGAAGATTAATGAAGTAATCTTCTGCAACACGAATACCACAAGCTTTGGCGAGTAGATCAAGATGGATAGCTTGATCACTGACTGTCGTGTTCATACCTCTCCTTGACATAGCTTTTGATAACTGTATGCACCAAAAGTAAATATTTCAATCCCGTAACTAATTCCATAAAAATACTTGTACGCATCTCTGCAATTATCAAATATGGTACCTAGCTTAACAGTTAATAATAGCATCCAGAAAGTTCCCAACTTATCGGCACTGCGACTATAGGACAACAATACTATGTTCAATAAACTCCACAACATGCATAAACTATCAAAACTAGTTCACAGAAGCGCAAAAGTTTCCAATGATTCGAATAAATGAGCACCCAAAACATCCATTGACGTGATTTGGAGAGATTAAGATTTTTTCACTTATTCTCGGATCTAACAATTCCGAGACACTTCTAATCACTTGATGTGATTTGGAGAGATTAAGATTTCCTAACTTGTTCTCATATCTAACAATTCCGAGAGACTTCTAATCACTAGCAACACAAGAAGGCACAAAAAGTAACTACTTTAAGAAGAACCCCAAAAACCAGAAAGCACAATGGACAATATCAGCTCAGTCTAAACAAAATTTCCAGTCGAAACAGAGATTCGCCAGTACGAACCTTTAGAGCAGGATAATAGAGCTTCCGGTCGCGAAGTTTCTTGATGGTGTCTCCAACATCCCAATTTTAAACATACTTGGAGCTTTTGAGGAACTTATTCAGCTGCTCCCTGACGCTCACCTCCTCGATGCCTTGTTTGAAAAGCTTGACGTATAGAGCTTCCTCCAAATACTTCTTTGATCTCTTCGCCGCGTTCTTCGTGCGCCCGGAAAGTTGTGGCATTGCCATTTCTTGATCGGTAATTCCTTCCGTTTTGGCTTCAGAGAAAGCAGAGAGTTTTGCCTAAAACCCTAAAAAAGTTCAGGCCCGACTTCCTTCAGATCAGGGCGCAATTCCTAACCCTGCCACAATATTGGCAGGGAGCATTTCTGCATTTTAGTTGTTCAGTGAGACTATGGGCCTCAATCCGACCCATTGAGTATTTTTTTCTTTTTATTACAATGGACATAAAAAGGAAGGGGCGGTTACAAAACTCATGCGAAAAGTTATTGTCAAATTGATGGAATGACTATATTTGTGTATTTTTTAAAATTTGGCTATTATTGTCGTGAAAAATTATGACTATGAGAGTGTATTTTGCCAAAATTCTATGATTCATCATTTATCTCTTCTCCATATAATAACCTTGATTAATTAAAAAAATAGGTCTAGTCGGGTAAATCCGACACCATTAGTTCTTTTTTTTTCTTCTGACAGCCTGATACAGATCCAAAGGAGAGAAGATAATTTTTCTAATCCCGTATTTTTAATAACCAAATCCTACATAACACATTTTTAACTCATAATTTTAATACTTTTTCATAGAAAGAATGCATTAACTATGATGTACATATTGATATCTATTTTGCTATATTTTGAACAACAAAAAGATGCATCTTCAAAACATGTATTCATTGTAGTATCATCACTATCATATCATGATGATATAATTCATGACAATGATATGATGACATATCATCTTTTATTTCAACTCAAAATTAAAACACAATTTGTATAAAAAGATCACACTCATTAAGATCTATATAATGATATCCATTTTGTTATGTTTTTCCAAGCATAAGACCTCATACCAACATCATATCAATGTCATATCTATCCTAGGTGACAAGTCTCCGCCCAAAAAAAATATTTTTGTCCAATTTCATTTAATAAGACCATCTCCAGCAAGGTCCAATTTATGTCAGTTGGAGAGCAAAAAGAAAAATTAATCTTAGCCCCCTAACTTTTTCCAACAACTCTTTCAACCTCTAACAACTCTGTCTTAAATTTCTCTATAAATAAACCCCGATTTTGGACTTCTACTTCACCACTTACAAATTTTTTTCTATCTTACACATCATCGCGAAAATTTCTCTTCTTCCCATCAACTAAAAGTTTATCTTCTTCCTGATAATGTCCGAAAATAGTCATCCTCCAATAGAGTTGGTTAGAGCCCGAAGATGAAGTTCTATGCAACGCTTGGATTGAAATTTCGGAGGACGGTGCTATCAGCCATTATCAAACTACGAGTGAATTTTGGGCAAGAATTGGATTCATATTTGCATCTAAAGGATGGGGGGTTTCACGTATTGACGAGGGCTTGAACTCATGATGGAAGACCATTCTCTGAGAGTGTGGATCTTTGAATGCGGCGTCGAAGAGAGCAAGCATCACACCAATGAGCTGAGAGAGCCTACATGATGTGGTTAGTTAAATTCTGATATTTAATTTTCGTGCTTATTATAGAATCAATTACTTATATATTTAATACTTGTAATATGCTTGAATTATTTGTTTAGATTGAACGGGCAAATTTTTTTTTCAAAGCAAACACCTAGAAGGATTTCAACCTCAATCATTGTTGGGATATACTTCAACATTGTCCAAGGTTCATGCAACAATTTATTGCAAGTGTATCCCTCATTACACCAATAGATGGATCTTCATTGACCATGCCATCTAGCGAAAGTGATAGCCCCGACGATCAAGCAAGTGCGACTCCTTTTGTGATCAATCGTCCTGAAGATCTCGATAAGCAAAAGAAGAACATAGGAACTCCATATTCTTTATCGGAATGTTGGGACAAGAGTGTGGCCAGTTTGTTGGATAATTTAATCATGCATAAACAATTGGCACTAGCTAGAGAGGAACGTGAAGTCTCGAGAGAAGCAAGAGATAAAGCAAGAGAAGCAAGGGATAAAGCAAGGATAAGAACTATCAAGATATGAAGATAATGAATATGGATCTTTCTCAATTCAGTCCTCGAACTAGAGCTTGGTGTCAAAGGCAAAAGGATGAGATTGTGCTTTCGTACCAAGATGCCCCCTTCTTATAGCCCAAACGATAACTTCATTATATTATATCTAGTTTGATTTGTGGTTGATTATATTCTATTTTGATTATTATTCTTCAATTATTAAATCAAGTACCTTCTTTATTAAAAACACTACCACAAGTCAGAAATACATTGAATCATCATGCGAAATACTTAACAAAACATAGTAAATACATCAATAGAACATGAAAAATACGAACAGAAAGGAAATACATTAATACAACAAATTTCTACGTTCCCCTATGTTTTGTCCACAAATGTTCAATCAAATCAATTCTCAATGCATGATGCCTCGGACGATCACGAATCCTATTATGCCTGGCTGTGTACTCCGTTATGGTCGGAATGTTATGATCGGGTGGAAGCCAACTAACATTTGGATTATGATAGCATCGTATTTGCACGTGTTTTCACTCTGGTTTCCTTTCCATTTTTGCTCGAATTGATTGTTCCTTGGCCTATTTTACGCTAGGTTGTGTTGTTTTGTCGTATTTCAGGTCCTAGCAAGTAAAGAGGTGCATAGGCGCAAGTTTCGGGTCATTTGGAGTTCAGATGGCGGTTCACAGGAGGAATTACGGGCAGCCCCTACCAAATTACGACCGTAATTGGTCAGGGCATGCCCGTAAAACCATTGCCGAGCCTCTTTGCCAAATAATTCTTCTCGGCGCTAAAATTACGGGAAAGCCTCCAGAGAATTACGACCGTAATTCCTAAAATACTGGCGGTAATTGTGGAATTACGGGCGTAGATCCTCCTTCTTCAGAGTAATTGAAACGTGCATTTTGGGGCGATTTACGGGCAGGCCGTGATTACGGCCGTAATTTTGCACGTATTTCGCCCAGAGTCAGGTTTTTGGAGGCAGATTCGAGCCAAGGAAGAGGCATTCGAGTTTCTAGAGCAAGAAACAGAGTTTTAGAGAGAGAAAGAGCGAAGAACAAACCCTAGGAGCTATTTGGAGTGGATTTCTCACCATTAGAGCCCAGATTGCGTCTCCAGGAATGAAGATTGACATCCCAGAGCAGATTTTCCTCATCTTTATGAGTATGACTACTCTGATTTCTGTTTTCCTTTCTCTCTCTATGGAGTAGAACCTTTCTCTCACTTGGGTATGAAGAACCCTAGTTCCTTGTGTTAGGGATTTGATTGTAATAACTTGGGATGATTATACTGTCTGGTTTTAATCGAATGATGCATGTTTATTGAATTGATTGAAGTCTGATCAGCTTTTCTCGATTTCTGCTGCAACCTGAGATAGATAGAATCTGATTAGGTTGTTAGAGCCTCTTCATTCGATAGTAGGAGATTGGCTATACGAGAGTTAGCCAGTTTACTGCTTTGTACTGGAATTCAATTCCAGTAGTGGAGTTCTGTGCTTATTGCTTCAGCTTTCTATCCCGGTGAAGACTAGTCGTCTGCCGGGTAGTTAGACTGAGAGGGCTTGGTCAGCTTAAGAGATTCCAAGCTACTGTCGGATCTTCCGCAGTCTAATCAACAGTGAATCAACCCAGGGGAATTACAATTGAACCTAACAAAGGGGCTAGGGGGACTCATTCCCGAGTGACTCTTTCCTGCTTTTGAAAACGAACCATTTCCTGCTTTCTTACTACTTTTGCTTTAAACAACAATCAATCGAATTAGTTGGCTAGATAATAGACAATCATGGAGTAAGTAGTAGATCTAGACCCCGGGTTGATAATAGAACTTGCCTGTTACTGCATTCACGGACTGCGATTACACTTGGTCGCAGTTTGGTGTTGTGTTTTGGCGTGTCAAGTTTTTGGCGCCGTTGCCGGGGACCCTCTAGGTTAATGGGGAAACGTGAGAATTTGTTACTCTAGCTTTTTCTTTATTGCATTTTTCTCTTCCACCTGTGTGCCTTCACGGGTTGCTTTTGCTGATTGTGTGCAGGTAGTGCATGACCCGTAGCCAGTCGGGAGATCTACTACCATTAGACCAGGAGCTTGAACGAACCTGCAGGAACTTCAAGCGGGCTCTAAAGGCGCGACTGGCTGCGGAGGAGGCGCTATCACAGCTGCAGATCGAAGAAGAAGAAGAAGAAGAAGAAGAAGAAGAAGAAGAAGAAGAAGGAGAGATGGCTGATCCACAGAACCATAATGTGATCAACCCAGATGAGCAGACCATGGGATCCTACTAGACCGCTAGAGCTGCGGACATGAGGTTACCCATTCAACACCCTCAGGTCCCAGCCAACAATTTTGAGGTGAGCACCTGAGTAATCACCATGCTGCGCGGTTCAGTGGTGTTCCGTGGTAAGGAGGGGGAGTGCCCCCTATCACATCTCAAGCGATTCCACGAGCTCATCGATGGAATCAAGATCAATGGGGTACCAGCAGATGCCATCTAGCTGAGGTACTTCCCATTCACTCTGGAGGGGCAAGCCAAGGAGTGGCTAGACACTCGACCTCCGGGCTCTATCACCACGTTCGCCAACCTGGCGGACAAGTTCCTCACCCGCTACCATCCTCCATCGAAGACAGCTGACCTGCAGAAGCAAATTACACATTTTGTTCAGGATGAGGATGAGACCATCAGGGATGCTTGGGAGAGATACACCAGTGTCTTTCTCAGGTGCCCCAATCATGGTTTCAATGATGCTTTCAAGGTGGGCACCTTCTATCACGCCCTCTTCCCGGAGGACAAGCAGCTGATTGACTCGGTTTGTGGCGGGAACATGCTGACCAAAACACCGCCACAGCTGAATCAACTCTTTGAGGAGATGGCGGAGAACGGGTACGACTGGGGCACTGCCAGGAGATTGAGACGAGCACCAGGACGGGGTGTGCATGTTGTGGGCACCCAGTCATCTGATTTGGTGCAGGTGGCATCGAAGCTGGTTTCAGCTATCGATCGTTCTGGTTTGATTGCAGGTACAGGACAGCCGCAGGCGATGCAC